ATTGGGTGTTGTTGCCCGCAAACTTGAGATTATCATAAAATGTGCAGAATATATCTGATTGGCCATTTTCATTAAGTTAACTTGGACCAATGGGTTCCAGTTCTAAACAGGATGGCGTGAATAGCTGAGCTTGTTTTAGCAAGCTTTTGGTGGAATAAGGAACCAAAAATGTACCTAAAATTTGTCTGGTCTTAAGAATGGATTATTTGTGTGATAATATAAAATGACCGTGTAAAAGGCTTCGGTTGAACTTAGATTCGAACTGAAAGTTGTGTGTTTACACAACAATGTCTCCGAAGCAGAAAATAATGCTACCAGTACGAATATTACGATCCGATCAATTGTCAGAATATCAGTGTTCTTTTCGAGAGTTATATAAACGGGAATTCGTCGTATATATATATATATATACATATATATATATAGAGAGAGAGAGAGAGAGAGCAGGGTCCGTGACCCGCAAGAAACTTTCAAAGATGGGTTGTGCTAAATCGTGTAAATGGAAAATGAAAAACGGTCTAATCAGCTGCTCGGTGGCGTAGTGGGTAGCACGCTTGCGTTCTGCCCATGAAGTCCCGGGTTCGATTCCCAGTCGGGTCGATGGATTCGCACTGCTGATGTGACCCAACCAGGTCGAAACAGCTGTCCAGTGCTTCCGAGCATTTCAGTTCACGCTTCATTTGCTATATACACGACGAATTCCCATTTGAAATTTAACCAAATCCTCCATTACTCACATGAAGTTATATAAACGTTTCATACAACAAATGCCTTCTCTAACACGTCAACAAGTAATTTGCCAACGAAATGTTACGGAAGTACCATACAGCTTTGCTGTTCTTATATGGAACTATGAACAATGCATACTAACCGTGGCCACCGGGACTCGAATTACAACGTTCTAATAGATGCTTTAGGCTATATCTGACATTAGTCACATCGAATACGTGAAGTCTCGACAACTTTGCCTAGGTAACCAATTTTGCATAACTTTTCACGAACCTCCAGGCTCAGTCTGAATTTCATCTCATAGTTAAACTAAATTCTTTATTTATTGTTAAATAAGACACATTCAAACTATTTTCAACCGCCTTGAACACGATTCATTATGTGGAATAAGTTAACAAAAGAGGATTTTGTCACATGTAAATAGAAAGGTGAAATGGCTTGAACAACTGCTTTTTGGTCAAATGTAAGCCATGTGATTACATTCTACCCGTAAGGCAGGAACTGCAAATCGTCCCAGCTTTTCTGTCCTTGTTTGTTTCGTAACCGATAGAGCGAATTTATTTGACTGACCTTACTGGCAATTTTATTTCATCAATTAAAAAGTCCGTGTCAAGAACTAACCGTGTCGCATGCTTTGTTGTGATGCTCTCAGCAGCATAGACCAGATTCCTTTTCAGATACAATTTTGGCTAGAATTTTTAATCGCGTCAAATCGGTAGAATCATTGCCATATCTCTCAGTCATTTTCATATGTGAATTTCAGTCACTTCTGGGCTATAATACGCATTATATGACCATTACAAGCTTATTAAGTTCAAGAACTGGACCCCTCCCGCTTTTATTTTGTCCCTCGTATGAAACAGACTATTGCAGAAGGCAGTGAGACCGAAGTCGAACAGTCCGAAGTCTCCCGGAAGTCGAAACCCAAGACTCGTTTAAAATTGCTGCGAAACTATGATTTTCGTTTGGTCAGCAAGTTCCGTCACGCGCGACGTGCAACCGTGGGCGGTGGTGCAAGGAACGCGCGCAGTATGTTTGTACGCGCGTTTCGAGACACCTTCGGACACATGCGTGGCAGAAAATCACGACCCGTGAAGCCGCGTCATTGGCGAACCAGGCGAACTCAGCTAGGATCCGATTCGGATCAACTCAATGTGGGACCGTCTTGGCCTGATCGAACCGTCAGCATGAAACCACCCGAGTTAATTGTGACCATGAGTCGTGAAGGTTCGGAACAATCAGACTTAGAAGAGGAGTATAATCGAGACTCTGAGCGAACCATCTGTGAGGTTATGACGGATGATCGTGGAACTGGTCGTGATTTTCTGAGTTCTACCGGAGATGAGAAGGAAGAAGAACAAAAGGCAGTCTTGTTGCATGGCTTTTCGGACAGCGCGGCCAAACCGTCTACGGGGTCATTGCGGCATGACAATAACGACTCATTATTTGACTGTGATTTCATTAGTGTCACAAGACAGACAGACGCAGACTCCTCAACCTCCATTCCAGTATCCCCGGTGCCCCAGCAACCAAGTGTAGAAACAAATATTCTGTCTCGTGAATATGGCAGCGTTGCGTCGATCGGGGCCTGTTGTGAGCTGAATTTAACACCAACCGGTACGAGGCGTAGATCACAGCATAGAAAGTCGATTAGCACGGAACTTTAAACTTTTCCAGTACCTGTCACTATGGGTTGTGACTTCAATCTGTAAAAGTAAAAATTCAAACTTATGTATAAAATAGATTATGGATCAAATTTGATTCCTCACTTGATTTTTGTTTTTCTACTTAGACTGCTTACTCTGCGCCAATGTCTTATTCAATCGAAATTCCTACCTCTTACCTGAACCACTGTATTGTATACAATATATCTGTAGAGAATGAAGGAGAGAAAAATATGTATCTATCATCATCATCATCATCATCATCATCATATGCACTTCCATTATTTTGAAAACATTCTACCCGGACTGTGCACTATTTGTGAAAAGAGAAAAGCGTTTACGACTTATATTTCATATCGGGAGGCATACGACCCCATCACGTGATATTTCAGAAAGTTCATCAACACCAATACGATCATCGAAATCATTTTTAGTCACTCAACCACCCACCCACTCTCCTCACCCCCTGTTGTCAAACTAGACTTTTGCTTTCCATACTTGACTTTGCCAACATCTACAAGTTTCTCTTTCGTGATTAATTTCATCTGAAAAAATCCTTGATTTGACAGTGTTCACCAAGTTGCTCATGTTGACAGAAACGGTCGAGTAGACTGTGGGCTGCATGAGAATTTGATGGAATCATGAGACCACTACTAGGCGAATTAGGAGTGAAAAGTATTTATCCTCCCTCCAGTGCTTTGGAATAATCATTGACAAAATGGAAAGAGGCCTTTCTGACCCAAAAGATAGTAAAAGATCAAACTTAATCAAAGTTGAATACTTCTGAATGTGAAATAACCCTGACATACTCACTTATAGGCAAGGAACTTCGTTCAAGTAAAACCTAGCATGCTGAGGACAGTTTGATTCGAATACTAGCATAAATACGGAGATCACAGTCTATCCCATATTTCCGTGCTCTCCATAGATCATAAAAGATAATCGTACTTAATTTAAAGTTAATTATGTGCAGTGGTGCATTATGTTGATTTGACCAACAATCCTTGAGCCGTAAAATATGTACGTAATCTTTGATTTATCCGCTCAGTCAGACTTAAATTTCGTTCTCATTAGAGCTCATTAGTTGCTCATTAGTGCACATCCACTGGCCCGTCTCGCATACAATGCTGGCAGGTGACCACTGCACCGGGGATGACCAGAATTACCAACTGAGGTTTGTTCGTCTACAACTACTATTAGTTGAATCTTTTGACCCCAAACAGTAACGACCAGAGACAGCTACCTATCTGCAAACGGTAATCAAAATCCTCTGATCGAATCTGATTTTCCGTGAAGGATTGGACAAACGTATCAGGCTAGATGAATACGCACTTGTCGTGAGTTTTACCAACAGTGGAACTAAATTATAGTGATTTGTGGTAATCAGAATAGTACTGAATTTAGGAATACGAGAATCCGTACTGTACTGCTCAGAACTGAATTGGCTCCAACCCGAACTGCGGACATCAATGGAATACACGAGGAATTGATAGCAGCAAATGCTTATGTTTATTGATGGAATTAGATCATGTTTTATAGAATGTAATAGTCCATATGATTGGTTGCACGAGCATCTTCTAATCACGTAACCGTTGGTACCGACGTATCATATGTGCTAACTCGGATGTCATGTTCGCCCGGTGTACCATTGGTCGGGCTTCCTGAACGGTGATTGGATGACATGAAACTGTACTTAGTCGTGCATGGATTGCGGTCACGGAAGTTTGGATCACCACATGATTCATGAACGTAAGATTNGTAAGATTGAGTGGATAAAATGAGGATTTTGCCTAATGCTGACTATGTAGGACGATCATTTACAATCACTAACGAAAATATACTATTCTATAACATGTGAAAAATAGAATATATTATGAGATATTGTGGTGCGGCAAACTGCAAATAGTGTGGCTGCTTACGTGATGCAAAGGAGGCTGATTTGCCCTATAGGATTCAACTTCCTGGAGCTTCTTAATTCGAAAATTAAAACTGTCATACTAATTGAGGTCCACACAACCTGGCTCTTTCTCCCGAAATCCCCTGAGCCTAATAATTCTTCATTCTTCGGACAGACCTTAGGCAAATAAAATGCACTAGTATATGAATGAACACTGCTCACAAGGCCAACAAGACTGAAACATTTGTTTGGCCATCCCGGTCAAGACGTACAGAGAAGTTCATCAGAGAACAATAATTTGCGTAACGCTGTCAAGTTATTGGGTGAGTTTAACTGCAGAATCTATAATCAAACCACTGTATGTGCGGTACATCACATAAAACAGTTGACAGCAGTTCATGTGGTCAACAGACATGAGCTTTTGACTATTGGAGGAAAACAGTTTAATAAATGAAACCAGTTTCTGTGAAATAAATGTGACAGAGATCGAGTTGCTTAGTGAAAAATCTAGAAGAACCTGCATTCAGGCATTCATTTATTAATTAGCTTCAATAATATCTTGTAAACCAGCTAGATCATGTATTTCTGACCACGGCGAGGTGATAAATCACTGCTCGGTTTTTTTTTATTTCGGTTTATTCAAATATTAAACTTCAACTTTCGTTCGGCGGTTTTGGTTAGAGTTTATGATAGACCATTAGGAAGGACATGCTGGAAGGATTAAAAGATCGAAGAAATAGTCGACGTGAAGATTCGAATAACCTATGATTGGGAAGATATTCAGCAGATGCACAAACATCATTGTTCATAACACTCAGTCATTTCACTCGCTGGCTCTAATCATCGATTACAATGATCCAGAGGTGTCCATCCAGGAGGCCTAACGCGATCTATATGAATGAGTCTGATCAAGTCGGACCATCATACTTAGTCTACGTTTGATTAACCTTGACTTTGCTCAGTTTGTACAACCAGTAACCACCCACTTTCGCATGCCGGTTTTCGTTGCTGTCTTTGAGCTGCCAATTTGGATGAAACATGGATGGCAAACCAGTTCCGTCTCACACTGTATGCCAGTTCATCTGCAGTTGCGGGGACGCATATACAGGCAGAACAAACCGTCAGCTGTCACAACGAATGGCCGAACATATTCCAAAGTGGTTGGTGAAATCGATGACGCAACACATAAATGATGGCCAAGTGATTACAAGAAATCCAGGATCATCTGTTGCAAAACATCGCATGGCAACAAGACACAGTTGACCCTAACTCGTCATTCAAACCGCTATTACGTAATCGAAATGCTAAACTTTTGGCGATTAGTGAAGCACTGCTTATTCGATTACATCACCCGACCTTGTGCGCACAGAAGGTTTTGATACGAGCAGTCCACTTACCGTGGAGTTGACCTTCTACTTCTAAATTTAGTAATCTTTGTATGCTTGTACACGTTTGTTCACCATAACTGATTAGTCTCATGTGCTATATATGTGCCTGTTTGTTTTAAGTCAGCAACTGAGAAGATTAAACGAAATGTTAACATCTCGCGACATTTGTCTTCTTTCGGTTTTGATGAAATGGATAAAGGGAACTCAATGCTTCAAATTGACATTGATAATGATTAATATGTAGTGCTTGTGTGCACTAATAGTCGGCTAGTCTGCGTCTGTTCTTTAGGAATTTGTCGAGGGCCTTCGACATCAAATCCACGAACTTTGCTGTGGAGTCATTTTGTATTTTGTGCTCCATCACGTTACACACTTTTGCCTACAATGTCCAATGTACAGGTAGCACATTGACCCCTCTCTACAAAACAGTGAACAGGTTTTCAATTACATTGAGATCTGGGCTATTAGATGGAAGTTACCTTATCTGGACTTAAGAGTCACTCATTTTTTCTGAAGTCCAAAAGCAAATAATAAGTCAACCAGACTCCTCAATTAAATAAATTCACTAACCTCTCCTAAAACATGACTCTGAGCGTCATCCGATAACTTTTTCAGACGATTTCATTTCATGAAATTCTGGAAACATTTTCGTCATTACTGATATTTGTAATCAACAACTTTCATAAGCTAGGTATGGGTTACTGTGTCATTATCAACGTCATTTGGAGATAAGTGAATGAGGAGGGGGATCATAACTGTGAACAGTCGGGCAAAGGAGATGGTAGCACAGGGGAATTTGCGTAATGGAAAACGCTAATCGTGGAAGAAATAGAGCTCAAAATGTTTACGTAATACCAAGAAAAGAGAACAGTTCATCTAGGTCGGTAGAATTGCTGCCGTCCGGTTCCATACCACGATTACCTAAAGGGGCTTCATTTGGTTCCCACTCCAAGTCCTTGAGATCAGGTTACCGGTTTCCATCAATGAATTGCAAGTCTTCGTGACTATGGGACTTGCTTCGTCTGCTGTTCATCATCCATGTGTGTGTTCAGTTCACTTCAGTTTGTACAACCATTAATCATGCAATTTNAGAGTAGAATGGAAGAGAAAATTGAGAATTTCAATTAACTAATGTTGTAAAGAAATTAAGATGCACGAAAGCCACTGTTTACCACTCAGTGCTTCTAACCGTTGATTACACTGATCCCGAGGTCCCCATCCAGGGAGTCTAACAGGACGTACGTGGCTCAGACTCCTGCCTAGGGTTTCCATACCCTCATGCCAAGTCTTAGCTTGATCACCATTGACTTCCTTCCATCCACTACCCGCCTCGGCGAACATTGCTCGCCGTGGCAACCTATCTGGTGACATGCGTAACACATGCCCCAACCAACGTAATGTATGGAGATCGAACAGTTGGCGACCGCGGTTACCTAAAACTTTGCGCCTAACCTTAGCATTTCTAGTCCGGTTGCCCCACCAGATTCGTGCAATGCTGCATAGACAGCGCTGCCCAAACACCGCCAGTCTATCTCTGTCTTGTCTTCTCAATGGTCAAGTTTCTGTGCCGTACAGCAGAACTGGCCGAACTGCCGCGGCATACGTTCAACCCTTCACAGACAGTCGGATGTCACAACGGTGCCACAGATGTCTTAAATTGGCAAATGCCAATTGGGCCTTCTGTGTGATAGCTGACACTTCATCCCCGATGCGTCCAC